TGAGGACCCAGGCAGCAATGGCCCCTCCCTCCCTCCCTCCCAGGGGGGTGGGACCACCCCTCTTTCCCAGCCCCCTCCCCGACCCCTGTTCTGCTCACCATGACCGAGTTCACGAAGGCAACGATGTTGATAGGCCAGATGGGGCAGAAGCAGGAGAGGGCCGCAATGAAAATGTAGTCCCTGGGCTTCTCCCCGGCCTCGCCAGCCGTGGAGCCTGTTGTGGAGGGCTGCCGGCTCAGGCTGGCCCGTGGGGATCCGACCGCTCCCGCCAGCTGGACCTGGGACCCGGACAGGCTGCTCCGCACGACGGCCCGCGCCCCGCCGTTGATGCTGTTCTGGGGCTTCAGGTCATTCAGCGAGGCGGATTTGGAGCGAGCGGGGGGGCTGGTGGGGGGCACCGGGGTGCTCCCCAACTCCTCGGCCGAGCCCACCCTCATCCCCACGGGATCCCCGTTCTCCTGCAGTCCCTCCACGGTGGTCTGCTCCTCAATCGTCACTGTCACCATCATGGGCGATTCCGGGGCCTTCGGGGCTGGGGGGCTCTGGGGGGGCGACGGCTGCGGCTGCTCCTGCTGCTTCTCCGACTCCCCCTGGGGCTGCTCATCTCCCGGCTGTCCTTGCTCTGGGGGGGTCTCCTTCGTTTCCGCGTCGTCCGACATGACAGGCAGATATCTAGATGAGAAAAGAAGGGCGTGGGTGGGCGACGTGTGGAGAATCACCAGTTTTTCATGCCCAGTACGAGGGCTTGAATGCCACCTGTTTCAAATGCCAAGGCTCAGTCCGGGAATATCTGAAGCAGTAAGCAGCAGAGTGCCTCTGAGCAGGGGCAGAATGTCCTTGCCTCACCACTAACCATCCACCCAGAGCTAAAACACCTGGTCACCAAATCTGGCGAGCCAGTCTGGTGTAGTGGTTAGGAGCACGGACTCTAATCTGGGAGAACCGGGTTTGATTCCCCACTCCTCCACATGCAGTTGCTGGTGTGGCCCTGGGTCAGTCACAAGTTCTCTCACGAGCAGTCCTCGAGAGAGCTCTCTCAGCCCCACCTCCCTCACAGGGTTTCTGTTGTGGGGAAGGGAAGGGAAAGGAGATTGTAAGCCGCTCTGAGACTCCTTCGGGTAATGAAGGGTGCGATATAAATCCAATCTCGTCTCTTCTTCATTTGGGGAGATCCCCCCCCCCCAATGTTGTTGTGGTTGTTCAGTCGCCCACGCGGCCGACTCTTCGCGACCCCATGGACCAGATCACACCAGGCCTTCCCTTTTAACCTTTTGATACTGTCCATGGGGTTTTCTTGGCAAAAATACTGGAGTGGGTTGCCATTTCCTTCTCCAGGGGATCACGCTTGGTCTGAGTTCTCTGCTGTGGCCTGTCCGTCTTGGGTGGCCCTCCACGGCATAGCCCACAGCCTCATCGAACCACGCAAGCCCCCTCGCCACGACAAGGCAGTGATCCATGATCTATATAAACCCTCCCTGACCTGGATAGCCCAGGCTAGCCCATTCTTGTCCGACCTTGGAAGCTAAGCAGGGTCGGCCCTGGCTAGTAATTGGATGGGAGACCTCCAAGGAATGCCAGGGTGGAGGCAGGCAAGGGCAAACCTCTTCTGAATGTCTCTTGCCTTGAAACCCTATGGGGTTGCCATAAGTCAGCTGTGACCTGATGGCAAAAAACCTCCGTATGTACTTGCCCTGACTAGTCACATCTTAGAAGCTAAGCCTTAGGCTAGTCACATCTTAGAAGCTAAGCAGGGTCAGACCTGGTTAGTATTTGGATGGAAGACCGTCGAGAAAGTCCAGGGTTGCTATGCAGAGGCAGGCAATGGGAAACCACCTCTGTACATCTGTTGCCTTGAAAACCCTATGGCAGTGATGGCGAACCGTTTAGAGACCGAGTGCCCAAACTGCAACCCAAAACCCACTTATTTACCACAAAGTGCCAACACGGCAATTTAACCTGAATACTGAGGTTATACTTTAGAAAAAAACAACTCATACCTTAACTTAAGATGACCCAAACAAAGTAAGGAAAGCAATCCCAAATGCTTTCATTTGTTTAAAATTATTTGGCAGAGAATTCAACACTTTAATGATGGTCTGGGCCTGGCTGGGGCGATGGCACGCGTGCCCACAGAGAGGGCTCTGAGTGCCACCTCTGGCACCCGTGCCATAGGTTCGCCACCACTGCCCTATGGGGTCACCATAAGGTGGCTACCACTTGAAGGCACTTTACACACACACAACCTTTATCCTTGGACCACCGCCTCTTCCTCTCATCCACACACACACACAGTGCTGATACCATCTGATTCTCTTTCCGGCAGACACAGGGTTGGATCGAGCCGGCTTTTTCGCTAGCGCTCGCCCAGTTCTCCTCCTTATTACAGCCCACGTCCCTCATGGCTTTTTTGTCCTTGCAGGTCCCACGATCCCCAGCAGAGATGCTTTGGTGATTCACAGGGACACCCCCTCCTCTCTTATTTTTAACCCAATAACCTCCAAGATTGACAGAGCACACAAGCTCTGAAATTAAATCTTACACCCATTTGCAAACTGGGCAATGTGGTCAGCGTTCTGAAACAGGAAGGTTTTCAAATATCGCTGCTCAGATTTAATGTAGTGGGATATACGCGTCAGGTCTTGTCAAGGCTATTATGCCTCAAACAGGGGTGTTGTTTCAGGTTCCAGTAGTGGGAGGGAGAGACAAGATTCGGCAAGGTCCAAAGTGCCCCCTTCCCATAGTGTATTTTAAGTGCATTTGTTGCGATTCTTTCTACTCACCTGACAGTTACTATAGCAATGTTATAGATTACATTTTTATCGCACCCTTCCTTCAAGCTACTCAGGACCTACAGATCTTTGCCTGGATTATGCACATTCCTTATCTGAACACAACTAAATGCAGCCTCTTGCCAAAGACTTGACTGTTCGCAAAGTCATTAGGACTTGGCAGAAGAGCTAAGTTCGAGGGCAAACATTTGGGGCTCTCGATGGCCCTGAAAACGATAGGGCATGAAACCGATAGGGCACGAAACCGGCACTGTGTGTGCCACTTCACACGTTACAAGAGGCAAACCCAGGTACGCTTAACAAGGAACTGCTACCAGTGATGGCTCCATGACAAGGGCACCTATATGATACATGGACTGGCACAAGGCTGAAGTTGATTCCCAGTTCCTTATTTGCTGTTCCTGTTTTTTTTTATTGATCCATCCAACCACAACTATTGATTGTACTTTAAAGATCTCTGCACCTCTTGGACCACCACGAATCACACATCCCCAGACTCAGGGCCCTCTGTCCTACAAGGGGAGTCAGTGCTATTCCCTAGTCCAAAGCCTGGTTTTGCTACTAACTTCTCCAAAGTTAGGGTGCCTCCTGGGGGCACTGACAATTAAGAAACTGGGGTCAACAAAACAAGCCTTGGAGCAACCTGAATCACACACACACACACAGCTCTGGGGACTATGCCCTGCAAGGGAACACAGACGGTTCCTTGGACTGAAGTCTGGCTTTGAAACTCCTGGTACCAACCCCAGGGAACTGGGAATCAACTTCAGCTTGGTCTACAAATAGGTGGTTGTTGCATGTACACACTTAGTTGTACGCTTAATTAAAAAAACACCTCTGCACCAAAAAAACAACGTGAGAAGTGGCCCTATAGAGTCCTGCATTACAAGACCTAACAGAAGCAGAAGAGATTAGGAAAAGATGGCAAGAAGCCCTATGGAGTCCTGCATTACAAGACCTAACAGAAGCAGAAGAGATTAGGAAAAGATGGCAAGAATACACAGAAGAACTATACAAGAAAGACCTCCATGTCCTTGACAACCACAACGGTATAATCACTGACCTCGAGCCAGACATCCTGGAATGTGAAGTTAAATGGGCCTTAGAAAGCATTACTAACAACAAAGCTAGTGGAGGTGATGGTATCCCAGCTGAGCTATTCAAAGTCTTAAAAGATGATGCTGTTAAAGTGCTGCACTCAATTTGCGAGCAAATTTGGAAAACGCAACAGTGGCCACAGGATTGGAAAAGGTCAGTATACATTCCAATCCCAAAGAAGGGCAATGCCAAGGAATGTTCAAACTATCGCACAATTGCACTCATATCACACGCTAGCAAGGTCATGCTCAAGATACTACAACCTAGGTTTCAACAGTACATGGATAGAGAACTGCCAGAAGTACAAGCTGGGTTTCGAAGAGGTAGAGGAACTAGAGATCAAATTGCCAACATACGCTGAATTATGGAGAAAGCAAGAGAGTACCAGAAAAACATCTACTTCTGCTT